GTAACTGCTTTTTTCCCCTCCTTTTTTGTTGAACACTGTCTTTGTACATGTGCCCTTGTACAAATGCAAGGGCCTACCTTATTCTGTTTAATACCCACTTTATTGCTCATTGTCTTAGGGTGCCATGATTTATTTATTCAGACTCTATTCATGCAAACCTGTATTTATAGTTTTTTTTGCTATTAGAAAACTGTTGCAGTGAGCATCTTTCATAACATATATCTGCATACTTCTGTAACTTCGTAGCATAAGAATTGGAATAAGTCAGAGTTTACACATTTAAACCTTAACTAGCTCCTGAAAAAATTCTATTAATGGATCCTCCCACCAGTAGTAAATGAGAAAACTTTTTCTACTGCTTACACTAGGTATAGTTAGTCTTTTAACATATTTTAGTATGACTTCTTAAATTTGACTATTACGATTTGTAACATGGCTTAAATGTTCCTGTTTGTCTTCCATTTGTTTCATTTGAGCGGGACTGTTATGTTCGTTTCAGTATTTGGGCACATTTCATGGACCTGCTTCTCTTGTATATGTGAGCAGTGTTATTTCTTATGTGCTATACAAATAGTTGAAGGTTAATTAGCAGTATAACTCAATAGTAATGCTGCCAGTCTCCTTCAGACAAACAATTTTATAAAAAGTGTTCAGATGAATTAGGTAAGTAGCAGGTTTTTAATCTATAAATATGTAACCACTTAGGGTTTTTTTGTTTTATGAAAGTAGGATTTGAAAAGATTATGCTTTTGAGAAGTGGTATAATGTGATAATTTAAAGCATGGGGTTTGGGGTTGAGAGCCTTGTATTGGAATGCCAACTCCTCTGAGCTTCAATTTCTTTTCTCTGACAAATGAGCATAATTTTGCTTCCCACGGTTGTCATGAGAAAATGCTGAATAAATGATAGCTATTGTTAGTAACCTTGTGTTTTTTATGCAGGTGGCACAAATTTATCAGAGCATTGAGTTTTCTCGTTTGACTTCTCTGGTTCCTTTTGTTGATGCTTTCCAACTGGAACGGGCCATAGTAGATGCAGCCAGGCACTGTGACCTGCAGGTATGTGCTGGAGGGTACGCTGACACGGAAGGCCTTGGAGGACTGACAGCACATGTCCTTTGTGTCTCAGCCTTTGGTGCAGTGGCACCATTTTAAAGCTTTCTGAGTGAATCTTCTAGTTTTTGTGTTTAATATTTTAAATTTTTTCTCATTCAGTTGAATTTTTTTTATCAAGTCATTTTGTAGAAAGACTTCATATATGCATATAGATTTAACTATTGATGGTAATTAATTTAATTTTTAAGGTTCGTATTGACCACACTTCTCGGACCCTTAGTTTTGGATCTGATTTGAATTATGCTACTCGAGAAGATGCTCCACTTGGTCCTTATTTGCAAAGCATGCCTTCAGAACAGATAAGAAACCAGCTGACAGCCATGTCTTCAGTACTTGCAAAAGCGCTTGAAGTTATTAAGCCAGCTCACATATTGGTATGCATCTTTGGGAGAAATGAACTACAGAATTGTTGAGGGGCCCCTTATGCCATGTCTTTCACAAAAAAGGTTTGAGATAATGTCTGATAGAAGGGATTTGTTATGTATTTCCTGTCCAATTGTATTTGATAGTTTTGGTGTTTTATCACGTCTTTATTAAATGTACAGATCATTGAGCTGCCTTCCATGGGGTAAAATAATACAATACACAGGCAATATGAGTGCTGGGTGTACAAGAGACCGCACATATAATGACCCCCTGAATAGGGAGTATTGTGATTGGGCTTTTCCTTCCTGAGTTGTTTCTTTCCTTGTTTGTATATTATTAGTATTCCTCTTTAGCTTGAATATTTTAAAGTAGAGTTGGTACAGAGGACAGCTGACCTAGTGAATAAAGGTTTTTCAGCTATGTCATTGCTGTTAAAGACTATATAGGGAGTAGCATATACAGCCATAGCACTTGGTACTGGGAATTAGAGCTTGAATCATGTCCATCTTCTGTTAGTAATCGCAGACACATATAAGGGTAATGCATCAGGATTGTTCAGTAATTTTTTTGATGGCATTTGTTTTTTGAAGCAAGAGAAAGAAGAACAGCATCAGTTGGCTGTTAATGCATACCTTAAAAATTCACGAAAAGAGCATCAGCGCATCCTGGCTCGCCGGCAGACAATTGAGGAAAGAAAAGAACGGCTTGAGAGTCTGAATATTCAGCGTGAGAAAGAAGAATTGGAGCAGAGGGAAGCTGAACTCCAGAAAGTACGGAAGGCTGAAGAAGAGAGGCTGCGACAGGAGGCAAAGGAGAGAGAGAAGGAGCGTATCTTACAAGAACATGAACAAATAAAAAAGAAAACTGTTCGTGAGCGTTTGGAACAGATCAAGAAAACAGAACTGGGTGCCAAAGCATTCAAAGATATCGATATTGAAGTATGTAGCACATTACTCATTAAACTTAGTTTTATCCAGATTTCTTAGAAGCACAGTCATTTACTGTTTATTGGTTTATTTTGGGTTACTTTTTGGAAAATAAGATTCATTAACTAAAATCTGTGAAATATTTGTTTCTGATGGCTCTGTGCAGTTTTTAACTATTGATGAAACCGGGGTTTGGGTACATGCATATTGGAGGAGTGAGAAACAGATGTTAACTGTTTTCCTTACAATCAAGTGGAAATATGGCTATTGTAAACATTTACCCATTTCATAAAAAGTAGTTTAGGATTTGATTCTAAAAACAGTGCTCCACTGCATTCTTTTATTTTTATATTCTTACTAATGATTGTGCATTTACATTACTTTTTAGGACCTTGAAGAATTGGATCCCGATTTCATCATGGCTAAACAGGTTGAACAATTGGAGAAAGAAAAGAAGGAACTGCAGGAGCGCCTGAAGAATCAAGAAAAGAAGGTAAAGGAAAGGTCTGGTAAACATTTGACATGCCAAATCAAAAGAGATTTTACGTAAAATTCTATTTGTTTTCATGTCATTCAGATTGACTATTTTGAAAGAGCTAAACGTTTGGAAGAAATCCCTTTGATAAAGAGTGCTTATGAAGAACAGAGAGTTAAAGACATGGATCTGTGGGAACAACAAGAAGAAGAAAGAGTAAGTTCTTAATTGAATTGTAATATTTTTAGACTAAGCTATAATTAAATTTTTTGCCAGTAATGGGACCAGGGTTTTAAAATTGATTTATTTTGCCTTCTTTAAAGCACCAGTGGGTGCTTTAATGGCTCCATACTAACAGATTGGTTGACAGATAGAAATTTTTACGGTAGAGATTTAAAAGCGAAACTCATAAAATACACGAAAATTTCAGTTTTCAAAAACAGTTTTATGGAGATATAATTCACATGATATGTAATTCACTTATTTAAGGTATCTAATTGATTGTTTTGAATATATTTACAGAATTATGCACCCATAAGAAGCTTGGTGCCCATTAGCAGTCACTCCCTGTTTCTTTTCAAACTCCTGGCTGTAGGCAACCACTGACCTTTTCTGTGTGTTTTGAATATTTCACATAAATGGAATCATACAGTATGTTCTTTTGTGACTCTAAATAGCTCTTTCTATAGTTTCTTTAGTCTATATCATGTGTACTTAATGATACAAAAGTAAGTCTTGCAAATGTGTGTAGTGGCCAAATTTATAATAAAATTTGTAATAAAAAAGTGACCTCATTCTGGTTGAAAAGAGTAACCCATAGGCAGGAGAGAGCGTACATCTGTGGGGACTGCAGTGTGGGAAATGCCCCATTCTGGGCCTAGTGCTGCCAGTTCTTTCAGTTTTTTTAGATGCTGGAATTTTTAAATAATTATTTTAGTATATGAAGTTAGGAAAATGCTGCAAGTCAAATAAAATACTTGAGATGAACCTTTAGTCAGTAATTCATCCTGCCCTAACCTCCAGTTGTTTTTAAGAAAGAAATGCCTTTAATAATTCAAGCATAGTGCTTAATACCACGAGGTCTTTGGTGTTTGTTTTACAATATACATTATAGTTTTTCCTTTTTAAAAATGTGTGGTACCGTGGGCCTAAATAAAAGGTTTTTACAGATGCCCCAGTATTCCTTTATTTATCTTCTGTCCCTGATTGTCTTCCTAGGGACCTTTTGGCACGAATGATAGTCACCCTTCCATTTTTGTGGCAAGGTCGAAGGGGTAAAGAGTTGCTTGTGTTTTTCAAGAATATCTGTCAGGAATTTTGGGTAAATTAGTAATCAGATAATGAATGTTTTGGAAATCTGACTTTGTAACATGTATTTGCAGATTACTACCATGCAGCTAGAACGTGAAAAGGCTCTTGAACATAAGAATCGAATGTCACGAATGCTTGAAGACAGAGATTCATTTGTAACGCGACTCAAGGCAGCACGACAGTCTGTTTATGAGGTGAATTTATGATTTCAGGGAAATATTTATTCATGAATTATTTAGTTTTGCCTTAAGGTTTCTCTAACACAGTGGCACATTGTGTCTTGAGCTAACAGTATAACATCATTTATCATTCAAATTTTTTTTTTTTTTAAATCTGAGCCATCCTGCCACCTGTTGGCAGCTCAGCGGCTGTTCAGCTCGGGCCGGGAATCGAACCGCTGTTGCTCAGAGCTCAAACTCTTGAGTGAGCTCTTAACCAACTGAGCCACTTGGCCTGCCCTATCATTCAATTTTTTTTTTTTTTTTAGATTTTTTTTTTTAATTGGGGACTTGGGGGATGGGGAACAGACAAGTCGCTGTCCTTTTGTTCTTCAGTCTAGTTGTGGAGGACGTTGCTTCACTGGCCCAAGTTGGCACCATCATTGCACTCTTCCCGGGCAAGGCAGATCAGTCATTGGCTTCTGGACGGCCGCTCACTGCAGCTGCTGGCCACTCACGCTGGCTGCTGGCTACACATGGTAGCCCATGGCAACCCACCTGCCGTGGCCAGCGAGCGACTCACGGCAGCCAAGCTCCAGGTTGAGCTGTTGTTCAGCATCTCAGCTGTAGAGGGCAGTGTCACTGGCCCTCATATGTGGGATCCGAACCTGGGCCCTCTGGCATTCCAAGCCAGCTCTTAACCAATGCGCCACTTGGCCGGCCCCATTCAAATATTTTAATGGAAAAGTTCTTGAAAGTATTTTCTAGGCTAAGTAGTCAGCCATCACTATATTTCTCTGAAGGTGAAGGTAGACTGCATAAAATTTGCTGTTGTAACAAGCTTTTATTTTTTGGTTCAGAACAAAAGAAACGGTGCCCTGCCCTTACATTGTTTACATTTTTAGAAATTTGACATGTGAGAAAAGCTTCAGTTATTTGGAAATTCTGGCTTTTATACTTGAAGTTTGCTTTTTATGGTTCCAAGAAACTTGCAATGTTTTTGTAAACTTAAAACTTACTGCTAGTTTGTAGCTCTTCAAAAATTTTATTTATTATTTTTTACAATTATAGGAAAAACTTAAACAGTTTGAAGAGCGATTAGCAGAAGAAAGGCATAATCGCATAGAAGAACGTAAAAGGCAACGTAAAGAAGAACGCAGAATAACCTACTATAGAGAAAAAGAAGAGGAGGAGCAGAGGAGGGCAGAAGAAGAAATGCTAAAAGGTAACTAGACAGGATTGGAGCAACGCAAGGTTGCTATTAGGGCAGTTCATAGCAATCTTAGAAAACAAAGGAATGAGGAATCAGGATTATTGGCTTATTAACTGCAACTAACTAGTTTTCCTAAGTACTGGGAACTTAGTTATCTGCAGTTTGTTGTATGTGAGGATGTATGTGAAATCTGATTTTCACATTTTTGGTGTTTTTATTTTTTATTTTTTTAATGGGGAGCACTGTGTTTTTCCAGGATCCATGAGCTCCAAGTCAAGTAGTTGTTTCAGTCTAGTTGTAGAGGGCGCATCTCAGTGGCCCATGTGGGGATTGAATTGGTAACTTTGGTTCTATGAGCACTGCGCTCTAACCACCTGAGCTAACTGGTCACCCCTTGGTGTTCTTTTAAAAATTAACACTGCCTTTTAAGTTTTTATCACTGTATTCTATATAGTATTAACATTTTCTGAGGAATATGTGCCAGAAGAAGTCTGTCAAATAATCCTTTATCTGGAATCCCAGATGCTCAGGAGTCGGGAGGCATTCCTTGTATCAGCCATTACAAAACTGTTAAGGAGTGGCATAATCTTTTTTTCAAATATCTCTGACCTTTAGCTGATCGTAAGCTGTTTTTAAAATCTTAAAAGGATTTACTTCTACATTGTGCTGCATGGTTAATATCAGAAAAGCGGATGTAGAGCTAGGAAAGGTGTGGTTACCAGGCCCACCTTCTAACTTCTTATGTCCTGTAGAGCGTGAAGAGAGAGAACGTGCTGAACGGGCAAAACGCGAGGAAGAGCAGCGGGAGTATCAGGAGCGGGTCAAGAAGTTAGAAGAAGTAGAGAGGAAGAAACGCCAAAGGGAGTTGGAGATTGAAGAAAGGGAGCGTCGTAGAGAGGAAGAGCGGAGACTTGGTGAGGATCCACTTTCTAGAAAGGTGAGTGTGTAGACATGGCTTTCCCTGGGGTGACGTGTGCTCATCAGCCAGTCCTCGTGCACGATACACATGTCAGTGCATATGTTGGTGACTGGGCTTGGTATTTTAACTGGTTACATGCACCAGCCTCTTAAAGCCTCGTAATGCTTTGTCTTCCCAAAGACAGAAGGTCCTTAAGTGGGGGGAAAAGATAGACATATTAGCAAAGGTGGGGTTTTTATAGGCTTCAGTTTAGAGGGTACTTGTCAGTAAGAACAAATCTCATGAGACTAAGTAGTTGACAAATGATAACACTCAGTGCTATGGAAGAGAAACTGTCCTTTTCCTTGGAAGGAGTGCTGTGAATTAAGAGGAGGATATGAGTTCTTTAACTCAAAGATGGGTCTGGTGTATTCAGCATTCCCTGGGAGCTTGTTAGTAATGCAAAATCGCAGGCCCAATGCCAAACCTCCTGAATCAGAATCTGCACTTTAATAAGAGTGCCAGGCGATTCAAATGCTGCTCTAAATATTTATTACTTTTAAATGCACTTATGTCCAAAATGGACCTGTTTCCCCCTTTATCTTGTGTCTCTTTAATTCCTTCTCCTGACTGGCGGTACTTTACCCACTTAATCACAAAGTTTTGAATCTACACCTCCTTCTGTTTCTAAATTCCTGCCTTAATCCAGATTTTTCTTTTGCCTTATATTCTACTCTTCTCCTTGGGCATAATCTTCCCCAGCTTCAGACTTTCCTTTACATGACCCGCTTGATTTTTCGTAATGCGTGTTTGCTCATGACACCTGCTCTTGGGTTTCAAACCTTTTGATTGGTATTCATTACTTAGGGCCAAAGGCAAAACATGCCTTAACAGTCAAGTCTTTTCCTGTTGACTGCTTTTTTCAGTAGCTTTATCTGCCACATTTGCTCAGTCACCTGTATACTAGAGCCATTCAGACTACTTTTATGCCTTATTGTATGTCTGTGACATCTACCTGTATGTCCTTTGTTTTCCCTGGTGTGTGCCCAGGCTGCCTCTTAAAGTAGTTGGAGGGTTTGTTGCCTCACTTTCCTCCACTCCTTTATGAGTATTAAACACACCTTTATTGGGGGAACTACTACTAGTCTTCAGTTTCTGTTTTATAATATATGTGGATAGATTTTTAGTTTTATTACTCTTGTTGCAAATTTTTGGTTTTATTTTCTTTGTATCACTGAATGTGGCCCTGTATGATTTTTAATTTTTTTTTGAATTATACACATTTTCCTGTTGTGTCCTCAAACGCCAGATTTTGAGTGTTCTTTTTCTCGTGGGCACAGAGTTCTGTGTGTATGTATGAAATTAGAGCTGTTGATATTTAATTTGCTTCATCATGTTAATTTGTGGAACTTCATCTTCTGAAGAAAGTGAGGTAACTTACCTGTGATTGTGTGTTCCTGATTTTTTCTTTTAGTTTTTGCAAATCTGTCTTGTGTTCGTCCTTTTGTTAATTTTCAACCTTTTGTTTCTGTTTTGTGCCCCCTTCCCACCTTCCCTTTCAATTGGAGAGTCTTTAGTTTTCTCTGTTTGCATTTTACATAGTAGCTGTTGTATTTGTTTTATTCCTAACATAGGTTTGGCGCTTTCTGTTTGCTTCCATGTCCCTGCCATTCCTTCTTTTCGTTAAGCCACACTTAAGAACTTTGCTCAGTTCATTTTTTTCTATTCTTTTAGTGATTATCATCAGTGTTTTCCAAAATCTGTCCAACTTTAACACTCTGGAAATTTTGAGAATTCTCTCTCTTTTTTTAAATTTTTATTGGGGATTGGGGGAGGGGAACAGTGTTGGGGAATTGGGGAAGGGGACCAGCCAAGTTGTTGTTCTTCAGTCTTCTTTGTGAGGGTGCCAGTCGCCATCTGGCTGCCCAATGGCAGCTCGTGGCCTTGAAGTTCAAGGTGCTGTGTTCAATCTTAGTTCTGGGTGGGTGTAGCCACCATCCCATGGAGGAGTCGAACCAGCAGCCTTACTGTTAAGAGCTCAGGCTCTATCCACTGTGCCTTATTTGCGGGTGGGCATAGCCCACCATTGAACAGGCAATCTTGTTGTTATTCCAGCTAAGCCACCCTGCCACCTGGTAGCCGCTCAGTGACACCTAGCTCGGGTGCTGTCACTGGCCCATGTGGGAATTGAACCGGTGGCCCCGATGCTCAGAGCCCGTGCTCTTAAGCCAACTCTTAACCAACTGAGCCACTCGGCCGGCCCATCTTCTGTATCTTCAGAACAAAAAATTCTGAGCATACCTGTATTGATGTTTTATTGCAATAAGCTGAATATTTTTCCCTCTAGAGCATTAAAACCTGTTACCTCGCTGTTTGACTCATTTAACAGTTTTGCAGCCATATTGGCAAACATGATTTAGTTTCAAATATGTTAACACTATATCACCTTTTCCCCTTTGCAGATAAATTTTTTTTTTAGTCTTGGTCTTGTTATTTCTGTTGTATTCCTTGGAAGCTTTTAGGATTTACCTATCCTTGGGGCAAGGGGAGTTTAGAAATTTCACCAAGACTGTGTTTAGGCATCTAAGTGTTTGGCCTTTATTATTCCACATTTTTGTCACATGTGCCCTTTCAGTCAGAGGGTTGAATTTCCTTAACTTAGGGAAATTTTCTTCTCCTTTTCTCTATTCCTACAATGTTTGCTTGAGAAAGGCTCTTAGAACAACTCCTATCTTAACCCTCCGTTGGGCGCAACTGACTTCACAGATTGTTTTGAATTTTTGTTGATTTTTATACTGAATTTATGTAATAAACATACATTGTTTTTACTTTGTGACAAATTAAAATTTAATTCTGAATAAATAATAAGCATGCTCACACATTATTTTAAATTTAAATAAATAAATGTCATACATGCATCTAGTAGATGCATTGCGCCTGAACTTGTAACTTTTGCATTGCACCCGACGGAGGGTTAAGAGAGAGCCCAGAGTCAGTAGCTATGATGGCAGATGACTTATCATCTGGCCATTGTTGCCCTTCACACCGCTTCTTATCGCTAATTGGCGGAGGGTTTTGTTGCCAAGACACTTTAAAAAGTTTAAATAAAGATCCTTTCATTCACCTACTTGGGATTGTAGCTATTCTCAGCTTCATTACATTTTTATGTTAGTCCTTCCATCCCATCCCTAGATCTTGTTTTATAGCGTTCTTACATTTCCGATTGTAGCCTTAGGTTGTGTTTGTAGGAGCAGTAAAGCTGTTTCTGAGGTGTTTGTGATTCCAGTTGTATGCCTTGCCCCTTACCAAGGTTGTACCAGATTTACATTTTCACCTTAAGGGTGTTGAGTATCTCCCACTGCCTTTCCATAATTTTTAATGACAGTGTAATATTTTGAAGAGGGAAATACTGTTAATTTAACCATCCCGTATTAGACATTTCATTTGTAGTAGGCACTGTGATGTGCGTTTTGGGACACTCAGCTATTTTCACATAATCTGAAAAGGGAATTTCTAGGTTGAAAAAAATCTGGAGGCATTTTAATAATTCCAGGGGACTGCTGCCAGATTGCTTTCAAGTCATGGTTTATCAATTTTTAAAGCCATCTGTGATACATGAAAATACCAATTTCACTGTATACTTACTGTCAGCCTGATTTCAGGTTTAAAAAGAAACAGAATTTTTAAACTTGTTCATATTTAAGGACTTAAGATTGTTCAATAGAAGCACAAAAACATTTGAATTATAATACCAGTAATTGTAATAAATGTTCATCTTAACTAATTTTGGTCAATGTAGGACTCTCGTTGGGGGGATAGAGACGCAGAAGGCGTGTGGAGAAAAGGAACTGAAGTAGATTCTGAGTGGAGAAGAGGCCCGCCTGAGAAGTAAGTAGTGCTAAGGAGAATGGTACCAACTAGTCATAGGCCCTGTTAATGTCTTATTAGTGGCTTTCTCATTTGGTGTATTTTGTAGGGTTGGGGAAAGGAGAGCTGTGAAGAATTGTATGTGTGTCTTGTACTGAAACGTTTTTCATAGTTTACTTCAATACTTCAATGACTTCTAAACATTTTGAGAAATAACATGCTCCAGTGTTTTAATTCTACCTAATTGAATAGTATTGAAGTCAGTAAGGATGAATAGTTCCATAACATTTTTTGTTTCCTTTAAAATTCTTAAATCAAACCATTTTTTAAAATGAAATTGCCAAGGTACTACCTAGTAAAGTGCAGATACCCTTTTAAGGCAGTTGTTTGCGTATTGGTTTATTTGTTGATTTAATATTTTGGATTTTGTGTTATTTTAGGAGAACCTATACTTTTAGGAGCAGGATTAATGGATTTATAATGAAGTGTTATATTTTTTTTAAGATTTTTTATGGAGAGTTGGGGGAGGGGAACAGTATTGGGGAATTGGGGAAAGGGGAACAGCCAAGTTGTCCTTCATTTTTTTTTTTTTTTTAAATTTTATTTTATTGGGGAATCGGGGAAGGGGAACAGACAAGTTGCTGTCCTTTTGTTCTTCAGTCTAGTTGTGGAGGATGTTGCTTCACTGGCCCATGTTGGTATTATTGAGTTCTTCCAGGGTGAGGCATATCGGTCGCCGGCCTCTGGATGGCTGTTCACGGCAGCTCTTGGCAGCTCACGCTGGCCACTCATGGTAGCTTATGGCAGCCCACCGCAGCAGGGGCTGCAACCTACACCATCGCTGGTGACTCATGGCAGCCCAGCTCCAGGTCGAGCTGTTGTTCACCATCTTAGCTGTAGAGGGCAGTATCACTGGCCCTCATGTGGGATCTGAACTGGTGGCCCTGCTGCTTAGAGCTGGAACCCCAAGCCAGCTCCTAACCAGTGCGCCACTTGGCTGGCACTGTTGTCCTTCAGTCTTAGTAGTGGAGGACGCAGCAAGCTCAGCTCCAAGTCCAGTTGTGCCTCTCAGCTCAAGATGCTGTTGTGTTCAATTAATTGAGTGTAGGTGTAGCCACCATCCCATGCGAGAGTCGAACCGGCAGCATTATTAAGAGTGTGCACTCTATCCCCTGAGCCACCTGGGCAGCAGCTCAGCTCAAGGTGCCGAGTTCAATCTTTAGTTGTGTGTGGGTTTAGCCCACCACCTTAACAGGCAACCTTGTTAGGAGCACGTGCTATCACCAGCTGAGCCATCCTGCCACCTGTTGGCAGCTCAGAGACAGCTCATCGGGCACAGCTCACTGTCCCATGTGGGAATCGAACCGGTGACCCTGTTGCTCAGAGCTCACACTCTTGAGCAAGCTCTTAACCAACTGAGCCACTCAGCCGGCCCTGAAGTGATTTTTAAAAGTGAGTGGAATCCCCAAAGGATCATGTGCTTTTGTAGAAAATTTACTCCTAAAGATGTTTGTCTTGTTGCTCTGTAGGGAGTGGAGACGTGAAGGGCGGGATGAGGAGAGGCCTCTCAGAAGAGATGACGATCGCCCACGGCGTTTGGGGGAAGAGGAAGAGAGAGAGTCTTCTCTTAGACCAGAGGATGATCGGATTCCCAGGCGTAGCTTGGATGATGACAGAGGTCCTAGACGGGGTCCTGAAGAAGATCGGTTCTCTCGCCGCGTGGCAGATGATGACCGGCCCTCCTGGCGTAATGCAGATGATGATAGGCCTCCCAGACGAATTACCGATGAAGACAGGGGAGGTTGGCGTCATGCGGATGATGACAGACCACCTAGACGAGGGCTGGATGAGGACAGACCACCTAGACGAGGGCTGGATGAGGATAGAGGAAACTGGCGGACAGCTGATGAGGACAGAGGACCAAGACGTGGGATGGATGAGGACCGGGGGCCACGGCGAGTAGGTGCTGATGAAGAGCGGCCATCCTGGCGTAACGCTGATGATGACCGGGGCCCCAGGCGCGGCATCGATGAAGATCGAGGTCCCAGGCGCGGCATCGATGATGACCGAGGTCCTAGGCGCGGCATCGATGATGACCGAGGCCCCAGGCGCGCGTTAGATGATGACCGGGGACCTTGGAGGAATGCCGATGATGATAGAATTTCCAGGCGTGGTGCAGATGACGACAGGGGGCCTTGGAGAAATATGGATGATGACCGGATCTCAAGACGGATGGATGATGATCGGATTCCCAGCAGAAGGGGCGAAGACTCAAGACCTGGTCTCTGGAGACCATTTGTCAAGCCAGGTAAAATTTTGGGACTCAGAAAACCAGATTGGGTGCTTTATACAATAGAATCTCTTTGATATATTTACCAATAGAAGGTAAAATTTTTACACAAGTTAATCTCCACTGTTCCTTAGATGGTAGCAGGTTATTTCAAACAAGGAAATCTCAAAGGGCTAATTACATTTTGCTTTTTTAATAAGAAAGTTATTCTTGAACTGAAAAATTAAAATGTTAATGGATATATGACAGATTGGGTTATATTACTATTAGTTTCTAGATAATCTGGTCTTTTATCTTCCCTGGAATAGCTCTGCAGTGGCTTTTATGTCAAAAGCTTGCCTTCAGTATTCCACACACCAAAACAAATTAAACAACTTCACCCCTTTCCTGCTTTAGTGATGTCATATGCTTTGTTTTCCTTTTGCCTTGTTGACTGCTGCTTTAATTTAAGGGCTCTTCCTGTGTCCGTACCTTAAGTATCCGTTTTCTTCAGGTTCTGTCCTGAACCAGGCTCATAATAAATAATGAAGAAAAGAACACACTAAACATTTGCCTGTACTCTTGCCAACCATGGGATTATGCTCATGGGAAGAACTCATTTCTTTATTTTGTCAGTCTTTGGCCTGCTCATATTTTCCTACTGTATAAAGTAAGTCTGTGACTTACACCATCTTCTCCAGATGACTTCTTTCCTTACCTTCAGACCTGGTGTTTCCAACAACATATCTCTGCCTGAAAGTGTCACACTGACCCTTTAAGCTCAACCTATCAAAACTGAACACACACACACACAGACACACACACACACACTCTCTCTCTCTCTCTCTCTCTCTCTCTCTCTCTCCCTCCCTCTCTCCCTCTCTCCCGTCTCCCTCTCTCCCTCTCTCCCTCCCTCCCTCCCTCCCTCCAGGGACACCCCTGTCCATAATTGTACAAGCTGGAAATCTGGGAATTCTTTGCCGCCTCTTTCATTCTTTAAGTTAAATCTTCCATTTAGTTCAGTTCTACCTGTTTAGTGTTCCTTAAGCCCACCCACTTCTCTCTTCCCCCTGCATGTACTTGGGTCTGGGCCACCATCATTCTTTCTTTGAACTCTTGCTGTTACTGGTCTTGGCGTAATCTGATCTAAATGCAAATTTAACTGAGCAGCTTCCTTGCCTTTACCCTTAGTGGTTTCTGGTGCATCCTTCTATCTGTCCTGGAGTAATGCTGATAACTGGGGTCCTAGGCGCAGGTTAGGTGATGATCAGGGCCCACTTCATTCTGTCTAGCTGTGTGACTTTGGGCAAGCCACTTACTGGTAACTTTTCTGTGCCTCGTATAAAATGGGGATAAAAGTGTAGTTACTTCTGATTAATTCATGTTAGTTGTGTTTTACAAAGTCTGTGAATACTGAACCATTTGTTCCTAGGGAAGATACAAAACAGTTAGGTTTCTGTGAGCTTCTGGTCCCCACATTTTTGTGAGCCATTCAGTACATAACCTTGTTTATTACATTTCTGTTTAAACATACCTTATTTAATATGTATTGTTGATTTGTTAATGTTGAACTCATGGCCAACAGCATTGTAACTTGTTCCTGAGTGAAGCTTATCTAATACATGTGCTCTCTCCCATCCATCACCTTCTTGTACTTGGGAACACTAGCTAACACTTCAACACAATGCTTGGGCCATTTATACCATGAAATCACCAACCAAAAAAACTAAAATGCAAAAATGTGGCACTAACTAGACCTCCAGAAGGACACTTATTTAAAGTATGAGAGCTGCAGCAAGATGGCAGAGCTGCTTCACCTTGTTTGACCTTTGCTGAGAATGTGCTTGTCAGGCAACTCACATATTTTGTCACTTTCCACGTGTCTGCCTGAGTGTAAAAGTTCTTGAGTATTACTTTTGAAGGTACAAATAAATTTTAGCATGTAGGCAAATTATCAACTATGAAACCTTAGCTCTGCTATAGATAGGATTGAATGAGTTAATATTGGGTCATTGGAAAAGTCATGACGTATTTTTCTATGTTTTTTGTTGCAAAAATGCATCATACTTTTCCAACGACCCAATATATGCAGAGTTAAGAATAGTGCTATGGCATGTGGTAATATAAATGCTAACAGCCATAATAATTATTAGCCTTGTAGCTATAATACATTTTCATTGAAATCTCTGTTCCCTTTGGCCTCTGTGCAGATGTGTATAAATAGATTGGGGCATCACATGGATAAATGAGGTATTGGGCAGGGTCAAAGAATTTATCCTTGTTTCATGACTGCATGGGTGGTAAATGGTGGAGGGCAGGAATATGAAAGGAAAGAGTTTTTGGTTACAAAGGTTTTGAAAATGTTACAAGATATAAATGAACTCATAATTGGTGCTCTGTCTCAGAGATCTAGGTCCTACCCCTCACCCTTCACATTTTCTGCTTGAATGAGTTGTTTACCATCAAAACAGATTTTTATACCCAGAATCTCTGCATACGGGATACTCAACTCAGGCTGTATGTTTTTTAAATGTACCTATATGTTTGGAAAAACATGATAGGTAGACATAAATAGCTGGTGATTCTGTGAAATGAGGTAAATGGCTTTGTTTTTTGTTTGTTTTTTTTTTTAATGAGGTTGTGGTGTCTTAAATTAGTATTTAGAATGATGATGGATTAATGTTAACATTAAGATCTCTATTCATAGTTGCCAATCTGTTTACTGAGTGCAAAAAATTTTTTGCTTCTTTAAAAAAATAGGTGGATGGAGAGAAAAAGAAAAAGCCAGAGAAGAGAGTTGGGGTCCACCTCGAGAGTCAAGACCATCAGAAGAACGTGAATGGGATAGAGAAAAAGAGAGAGAGAAAGATGGTCAAGATCGTGACGAGAACGACAAGGACCCAGAGAGAGAGAGGGACCGAGAGAGAGACGGGGGGGACCGAGAGGAGCGCTTCAGACGCCCCAGGTTAGGTGTTCTGGTAGCACATCTGTGGGGTTACGTACAGGAGCCTCCTGCACACTCGCCTTACACTCCGAACTGTTTCTGAGAAATGGTGCTCCTCTTTCTTTCCCCTGCCCAAATGTATCTATTAGAATTACAGTGGAGCTTTTTTTTTTCTTTTAAAATAATTTTAGAGGTCATCTAGTTGAACATTTCCTCCTAACAAAGTGAGAAAGTGGAGGTGTGAGCTTTGTGGCTCTCTGTAGGTTAACTCTTGGTAATGGAACAAGTCCAGGTATCTTTGCCAGTCTGTTGCTTTTCCCCTGTGGTTTTAGGTCATCAGCTTTGTTGCCTTTAAATTATTAAAAGCCCCATTACTTTTAGTAGTGGTAGCAGTTCGAGCTTGTTTCCTTGGGCCAAAGTGGCTTTGTATTGATAAATATAGACCAGGGGTCAGCAAACTGTGACTCGCGAGCCACATGCGGCTCTTTGGGTACGTTCCGTCTCAAAAGTTTGCTGACCCCTGGAAGAGCCAATCCTGTCCCTCACAACAATTTAAAAATTACTTGAGAGCCATGAATATATTTTTACATAATCACCATTATGTGAATAATATCCTGTAAAAATGTTATAAATAGAACTATGATAGTTTTATTTTCATTTTCAATTTTACTTCAGAGCCACAGTTCACGAGCCACAGTTTGCTGACCCCTGGCGGCTCTTCCATCTCAAAAGTTTGCCGACCCCTGATATAGACCATCACTGTTCAATACAATTTTCTGCAGGAATGAAAATGTCCTATATCTGTAGTGTTTGTTAGGGTAGCCAGCAGTCACATTTGGCTGTTGACCATTTGGAATATGGTTAGTTGCTACTGAGGGTATGTCTTGATTTTATTTTAGTGAAGTTAAGTTTAAGTAGCCACATGTGGATAGTGGCTGCTGTGTTGGACAGCACAGCTCCAGATGTTCTCATTTGACTAGACTGAGGTCAAGTGATGAGTTTAAACTTCATCCCTGTTGTAATCGTAAACTTCTCTGAGCACCAACTTGGACACAATGTATTCATTTATAATTACCCAGGTAGTCTAACAACAGAACTGAGAACATGTGATTTTGAATGGCTACAGGGATGAAGGTGACTGGAGAAGAGGCCCAGCTGAGGAAGCTTCAAGCTGGAGAGATTCAGGTCGCCGTGACGATAGGGATAGAGATGACCGCCGTCGTGACAGAGATGATCGCCGTGATCTCAGAGAAAGACGAGATGAGAGAGACCGCAGAGGACCGCCTATCAGATCAGAGCGTGAAGAAGGTATGGGTGGTCTACACAGCTCTTGAAATATTGGAGAGCCATAATTTCGGGATTTTGGATTTTTTTCTTAAAGGTTTTATTGGGGAATTGGGGAGGGGAACAGAGTTGGGGAATCGGGGCAGAGGAACAGACAAGTTGCTGTCCTTTTGTTCTTCAGTCTAGTTGTGGAGGACGTCGCTTCACTGGTCGCTTCACTGGCCCACGTATTATCTTCCCGGGTGAGGCAGTCGCTCACCAGCCTCTGGACGGCCGCTCACAGCAGCTCACACTGGCTGCCGGCCACTCACGATAGCTCATGGCAGCCCACTGCAGCAAGGGCTGCAGCCTACACCGTCGCTGGCGTCTCACTGCAGCCCAGCTCCAGGTTGAGCTGTTGTTCACCGACTTAGCTGTAGAGGGCAGTGTCACTGGCCCTCATATGTGGGATCTGAACCAGGGCCCTCTGGCGTCCCAAGCCAGCTCTTACCCAACGCGCCACTCAGCCAGCTCTGTTGTATATTTTCTGTATGCTGCATTTTTAGGGATTTGCTGAAGAACATCAAGAATCTTTGTGTACAATATTCTTAGCCTCTCGTGTGGATTCTCACATACAGTCAATCCCACAAGGCCAAGTGGTCTTCATCAAGCCCACCCTGGCAGCCCCTTGTTATTGTTTTTTAATGGCAGTTCTGTATTGTTATCTTCAGTAGAGGATTTCTGAGTAATTTGAGGCATTCCTTTTGCTGAAGTTGTTCAGTCTGAGCCAATAGAATATAGTACAAACTTTCACTTTTTCTTGTAATTAAACTTTTAGGAAGTTCTTGGAGACGTGCTGATGACAGGAAAGATGACCGGGTGGAAGAGCGGGATGCCCCTCGTCGTGTTCCTCCCCCAGCTCTTTCAAGAGATCGAGAAAGAGATCGAGAGAAAGACAAAGAAGGTGAAAAAGAGAAGGCCTCGTGGAGAGCTGAGAAAGATAGGGAATCTCTTCGTCGTACTAAAAATGAGACTGATGAGGATGGATGGACTACAGTACGACGTTAAGTCTCAAGATAATGGCTTCAAACTCATGTCTTATATAGGTTTGATCACATTCAAGGATGATTATACTTGTGCTTCAACCAGTCTAAATTGGATTCTTTAATGTTGTCTCACCATAACACAAAAAGCATGAACTTGTATTAATCCTATATAATAGATTGATCATGCACCGTATCCACAGGTTGGAAAACCATGCCATTTTCTGCAATTTAAGGTGTTGCATTATTTCATCAATCACTTGTTTACAAAAAAGAAAAACTAAAAAATAAAATGTGAACCCTTCAGGTATTGAATAACACCTGTATCTTGGTATAGAACTGTTCTTTTGATTTTGAAATATATTAATTTGGAATGAGGTAAGGTTCTGTTACAGAAAATGTATTTCAAGACTCTTTAAAGCAGGGAGCTAAACAGTTTTCACACCATTAGCAGTTGAGACATACCTCTAGGTATTTGAGGTATCACCTAAATTTAGAAAGTTTTTAGGTTTACTATAAGTGCAGTAAACATTACCAACATTGGATACAGTGGAGTTTTCTGTAGATTTTACTTGAGAGAAGGTGAGTATAAAGAAATTCGCAGATATTATTGTAATGACAAGAATACTAAAGTGTGAATATAAAACCGTTAGAGCTTTTAAACCTTAAAGCATTTGGTAAACTATTGCTGAGCTTTTTTCTGTTGCCAGTAGCAGCCTGCTTTTCCATTAAGGAGAATTCATGCCTTTCAAGCATTTTAAATATGATGATATTTATAAATGTGTGGTTTGGAGGAATTGTTTCAATTCTTTTTCTTAATTTCCTTTCTCTTCAGAATAGATTCTTTCAATAAGTAATTTGTAGCAACGACTGTGTTGACTTCAATTTTGGAGTGAAGTAGCTACATTAAAGATTATTTGGTCTTATTGAAGCCAACACAGAACTTGCTGCTGTGGTTTTTCTTTAATGATAAATAAAATACTTAAAGAATTTGTTTTAGTGTTGATTTGTGGTTATAGTCCAAGTGTTTTTTATAATGGCGAATTTGCATATTCAGTTGAGTTCATTTTACTTGACTTGTACTAATGCCATTAAATGCCTCAGTGTTTAGTATCAAATAACCTGAACAAAACAAAGCAAGTGTGGCTGGGATGTCTCCCTTAAGACGTCCCCCTCATTAATGAGGACCCTTCCTTTCCTTGTAATGCTGTTGTCAGAGCCTGTGTGCATGGGGGAGGATGGGGGTGGGGTGTGTATTATCTTGGGTTTTCCTTTGAAATGAGAAAAATCATAGTTCAGAGAATGTTAGTTATATTGGCTATAGGCACTTATTTCTGATATTGTTGGTACAGCTAGCTGGAAGGCCAGAAGAGGGAGTATTGATGTTACCAAGGATGGAAACCATGTTTTTAAACATTTAGCTTTCTTTCCAAACAAGTGCAAGTCTTGAAAAGGTCTTTTGTGGGAAGAGGGCCTTTTCTTTTGTAACAAGTAAAAGAGCTTGGGGCAGTAAACTGCTTTGAGTCTTCAGTTACCAGAGCGGGACTGTACTGTGACATCACGGGCCCCAGGGGACAGTTCATTTAAGTGGGTTTGTTTAGATGCATGTCTGCTGGTCAGGTTCCCAGGCTCGTCTGCAAGCACACCCTTCCTGTCAGGACCCTTTCCCAGACATACTCTTCTCCCAAGTCCTTTGTTCTGGTGGGCGGAGTCCAGAGCAAAGACTAGAGCTGAAGAGTCTTACTGCTTGGCGATCCTGCTCTTAGGGTTCCTTCCACTCAGGGCTTAGCTGCCCACCCCCTGACCAACCAGCCTACTCACTTATGCCTTAGAAGTCTCCCATGTTCCCAGTGACTACTGCATTTTTAAACTATTGTAGAAGACCATTTCTGTTAATACAGGCAGATGTGAGGGTGGAGACGGTAGCCCACAAAAGGGTACAATGCCATTAGTTGTCCATAGTGGCTACCAGGAGGAGGTTGGCATCTATGTGCGGGGGATGTTTTTATGCCAAGGACTACCTGTGTGGTTTTTTACCAAAGACACTGACTCTAGATTGATTTATCCTTTTACAAGGCTCATTGACATTTGGGACACGACGGAAATGGAAAGACTTTTTCTCATGTTGTAGCCAAAAGCAGACTGGAAAGTTAGGGCTAATACTGAAACTTTCCTTCTCAAGTATACATGTATTTGTGGTATGATTTTAAAGCATGTAGTTTTAGCTTATAAAAATATCTATGCCAAAAGTTGTAATCAAAGTTAGTAATTCTGCAGCTTCCAAGAAGGACTTCACAAGGAAAATAAAAATTCAAAGACATTAAAAGCCACTGGAAATGTCTACAGAAAAGGACCAGCATGTCAAGGCAGCCCATGCTGCCAGTCCTGCATCCATACGAGTACATTGTTTTGTTTTTAGCCAAATAAACGCTGCAGGTTCTTAATTAAGAAAATAAGAATTTATTTCACACTAGTTTAATAAACTTGGAGGAATTTGAGGGTTGCTTCTAAATGTATTAGAGTGTGATTAGTATACTTTTCATAAGAGAGCTTTGGAAATTAACGGCAGTAATATTCTGTTCATGCTTTAACTTGCAATATTTTAATGTTAGCTGGAAAACAGGCCAATTTGAAGGGCGTTTTAAACATGGGGTGTGTTTTAAAAGGATTAACACTTTAAGCACCATGTCAGTCAGTGGTGACTGACACTATACTTTGTTTGGACCGCGTCAGTCACCAGTGACTGACGATATACAATTTAAAAAATCATTCTTCTATTAGGAAAACTAATTTCACTTCAATTGCTTTCACACGTTTCTTCTACTGACATTGTCACTGTTACGGGTAAGGAAAAATTTTTTAAACTGCACTGGAACACGAACCACAGACAACTGACTGAAGAGAAAGCGTATTGGTGAAATCGGGTATCACGGGCCACATGGGAAGGAAGACACAACAGGCTTGGTGCTTAATGTGTTAATACAATGGTTGCCCAAGTAGTTGTGAGGTCTTCAGATACCCTTCCAGACTTCGCGACTGAAGTCAGCTCCATGTTTTAGTATGTTCCTGGTTAGGCACATATCACCCAAGGATTTTCATATTGAATATATATTAAAGCTACTTGCCTGAGACCTGGAAAGTGTCTATAATTGGACTTTTAAATATACGAAGTAGCCACGTGCCTAGTCCTGGTCTGAAGAATGAATGCATTGATCTGTTTATAGGGACCCTTGAAAAGGTTGAACAGAGCAGGAGAGGGAACACAAATTCATCCTGTCCTGAACGCTACCCAAAAAGCACAACTAGTTTAAGGCTGGTATATTTTCTAGCAAAACAACAGATTAATTACACAGCTTTATTAAGCTACTGAGTTTAGGCCTAGTCAAATCTGAAGTGCTATGGACACAGGACTAGACTAGCAGGAGTGGACTCCCCCCGCCCCCCATGGCCTAGAAACCATATGCCTGTCACCCTGCCCCTTATTTTCATACACTTGCCTTGAACAAAAAGGCTCACAAGCCACCCAATGTTACTTACCCCAGCCTGTCTCACACCTTTAAAGGAGTGTTCAAGCCAGTTTGCTGTGGAGGAAGTTAGCTGTTTAATATGAAAGCAATCTAACCTCTAATAACCTAGCTAAATTCCTATTGGCATCTTTATAATACTTAGACTAAATCTCTCACTGGTATTTTCAGATAATGATACATTTTGTATGTTCTGGGTGAGTTCATCTTACTTTCCATTTTTTGCCTCCTATCTTGATATAGCTACATGCCATGGTGTGGCATTCAGCTCAGTGAATTTAAAAATAAGGGTGGAGGATAAAAGTAGTTCAAGAACCTTTGCCTACGGATCAGGTCTAATCTCATTTATAACGGGGGTTCCAGAAACAGATTGGGGTCTTCCCTGTGAGAATGGGAACATAAGGAGGTTGTGCTCCTTGTGTCTCCCCTGCTCCACAATTAGTGTTTATTCTGGTTTGAGGAGTGCCTGTGCCTAAGGCCACACAGCCCAGAGTGGAACCTTGAACACAGGTTATTATTATTAACCTTCTAGAGCGCAAGGGATTCCATCTTTCATTTAGTTTTGAGAGACAACACCTGGAATGCGCTTTCTCCATTTAGGAAGTCTGAAATTGAATAATTCAGTCAATACTGCGCCCTCCTGACATTAAGATTAAATGTTTTTAAAGAACTGGAAATGGGTTGGGGTAGGGTGGGTGCACAGACAAAAGGCTAAGTAGCAAAGTTATAGGCAAGATTAATGAATTCATATACTGTTACTGTATAAATACACAAGTTTTTTAAACAGCACCATTTCCAAGTGTATACACAATATGATTATAACTTGGCACAACTTTTAAAGGTGGAAAATGCTAGTTGCTAATTTAGTAATAAAAGATCTGGTACATAAAAGGGTAAGGAGCTGTATTCTACCTGCTACACAGTGTGTGCGTTTTACACCTCCAGCTAGGACAAAACAAGCCACAAGGAGGGAATACCCACCCAAATTAATACTGGAAAGTTTACTAAACCTCCACTTCTCAAAACAGTGATGCTACCAGGGGCTTGCTTCACCTGGAATTGGATAACTGATTAAGGATAACTAAGAAATATTGTTTCAAACAATAAAATAGTCATTTTGCCGCCAACATTCCGTAAAATCGCCAGTTCTAAGTTCAGTTAGGAGGCTTTTAAAAAAATATTCTAGACCTAGTAAAGTGCCTCCGTTCATAAAATTAAACATCCAAGATTAGATTGAGACAATTTCATACTGATGATGTGCACCTAAAATAGGTCGACGTTTACAGTAAATAAACAGCGTCTCAAAGTTGCCATATTTCAGTTGGAATACACAGCCTTCACCGTCTGGATGTGCACAAACTAGAAACTAGAGATAAACAAATCAAGATTTTAGCGTCTAGTCTCAACCGCCCTTCGACAAAGTACTCCGAACGGCCGGCTTGCTTTGAAAAAACCAATACCACATCCCAAGTTGAACCAACGGCTGAGCTCCACGCCTCCCAACAGCGAGGAAGAGATGGTGCACAGACCAGAAAGGAGAGTGGACAGGCGGTGACCCTGGTGGCGTCAGGTGGCAGCAGGCCGAGCTCAGCGCAGCTTCTTGCTCTGAAGACCGTCCCTGGCGCTACGCGGGGGTGGCCGGGCGGCGGGCGGCGGCGGCACTTTGGAGAGCGGGCAGTACTTGATGGTGTGCGCGTTGTCACCGCTGGCGCCACACAGGGGACACGTGTAGCGGCGCAGCACGGGGCACAGCACTCGCCCGTCGGGTCCCTTCAGGATGTGGGTGGTGTAGAGCGCCACAGCCTCCTTGTTGTTCCGGCAGAACACGCACACCTGCAGCTCCGGCTTGAGCAACCGGGCGGCGGCAGCCCCGGAGGCGGCGTGCAGCCGGGGCTCGGCCGCCCACGCCGGGGCCCGCTCCTCGCGCGGCGCCAACTCGGCCGTGGCAGTAGCGGCGGGCGCGCAGCCCAGCAGCACGGCGGCGGCGCGACCGGCGAACGGGCTCAGCTCGGCGAAGCGCTCCTCCAGCAGCCCAGCCTCAGTGGGGCCCGCGCACAGCTCCAGCGCGCGCAACTCCAGCGCCCCCCCCAGGTAGCGGGCCCCGGGCCCCGGCTCGTCGCTGTCGTCGTCTTCGTCCTCGTCGTAGTCCGGCGGCCCCAGAGCCGGCCCTAGCGCCCCGGGCCCGGTCCCCGAGTGGGGGGAGCAACAAGACGAGGAGGAAGAAGACGGCGGGGAGCCGCCGTCTCCGCCGCTGGCGCAGCCGAAGCGCTGCTCGCTGTCCACCGCCTTGGTGATGAGCGTGGCGAGCCCTAGGTAGTCATTCCACGAGCTGAAGGGCTGCGGGTGCGCTGGGCCCTGGGCGCTCACGTAGCGGGCGTTGGGCACGAGCGCCATGGGCGCGGGGGCGCGGCCGCGGCGGGGCGAGTGGGGAGCCCAGTGGAAAGCCTCCATGGGCGGGCTGCGGGCCGCGCGCGCCGCCTCCCCGCCGCCGGCGCGGGCCGGACGGAAGGGACGCGCCGAGCCTGCCCGCCGGCCAGCCGCGGGGTGGGGCCGCCTTGCCGCCTTTT